TAAACTAGTAAATTTTCAGGTGGCCTCATTAAGTTTTAATTAAGATTTACTTAAAAAATAGCTGCTCAATCTAAGTATTCTTTTAAGCACATAAAATATTCACAAGCTCTAAACTGTGCACTAGCACACATCAGTCTCTTGAAGCCACTAGTAATAAGATTTATGGGATTTCTAGTCAGAAACAAAATAATCCCTAAATCTTTTTGCCACTTTTAGAAATGTATGTTATGATTTCCAACTCTGAAAACAAATGGATTATGAGCAGAATAGGTATACACTGCCACCTGACAATTCTCCATTTTTTTAATATGCAAGCTTCACAGAATTACTTCATTTTAAGAAACATGCTATGCTCTCAAGGGAGGAAAAAAGACTCATGCTAAAGTAGAAAAAAAATGACACCATGATAGCAAGTTATCAAAGTTACCATCAGCAGGAAAAATTATACTGATAATATATAGTCTTAATACACTTTGAGGGAAATATCACTACATTCCGTGGCTTTTCTCCCCACAAGGCATGAATAAACTCTCCCCAGTTTGTTCCTGAGATAAGCAACAAGTAGAAACCCTGTCAAGGACATGCTACAAAGTACATGACCAGTAACTCCTTCAAACTGTCAGGTCAGTAAAATGAAGGAAAGTTTGTCACAACTAAGAAGTTGTGAGGAGAATACACAATATAGTGTGATATCTTGATGTAGAGAATCCTGAAACAGAATGATAGTCTTTTATACAATCTAAGGAAACCTAAATAAGGAAATATGAATAATATAGCAATTTGTCTATACTGATGTCACTGGTATATCACTCTAATACATTACAAGGTGTGAGATAGAGTGGATCCTTAACTTGCAAACTCAATTGATTCATGAGGGCTGCTTGTAACTCAGATTGGTCAATTGAAGGCTCAAGCTCCTCTATACAAACTTCAAGTCTCTCTCTTACAAACAGGCAGATCTCAGTGTCCTTAGGGAGACACTGGCCCAGGATTTCTCAGTTAATCCTATATAGGAAAGGATTCTGCAATGCACATTCTATAACTCTTTAGGGGTTAAATCTGTATCTGGGTGCACAAGCACCCAGAATTTGACTCATAACTCAAGGTTGTGGTCATAAATTATGACTAAAATACTGGTCATAACCCAAATTGTTCGTGTGTCAGACCAGTCATAACTCGAGGGTCCATTGTATACAGAAACTCTTATCTTCATATTTCTGTAGGTCTGAAGCTATTCTAAAATAAATTTATATTTTTAAGATAAGCTTATATATAATAGAAAAATGTGGACTGTGCTTCATCAGATGTGGGTTGGAACCTGAGATTCTGCATTTCTAACCAGCTCCAGATGCAGTTCTGGCTGCTCCCTGGCAGTTACTCTCAAAGGGAGATGCACAGGTCTGCAGGATCAACATCACTGGAATCTCTTAGAAATGCAAATTCTTGCACTTCAGTGCTACTGAATCAGAAAGTCTGGAGTACAGACCAGCAGTAGCTTGTATAGCCACTCCTCCAGGGTAGGAGGCTTGCTAATACAGCAGAGCTTTTTCTGTGTTTAAAAGAAAAAAACAGAAGCTAGTCATCCATTTACTTTCTTCCATATAGGTGTGGGAGAAAAGTTGGATGTAAGGGTATATTTTGGGATATTTTGTGCACTTTATTAATTGTCATAAGTGGTTTAAAATTGTATCTCATTTAGCATTGAATCGAAGGCCGAAGTAGATATATGTATCTTGTCCATTGCTGTCCACAGTCAGCAACATTTAATGCAAACTTCATAAGCCTGTTCAAGTACAGAAGATGGTGGCACATGAGTATAAGTGATGATTTAATGTCTTCTATATTTAAAAAAATAAAAATGAAAATTTAAAATGAATTGCTCTCAATTGTCTAATTCAAGCCCAGGAAATTTGGAGATTAATAGTATCTTTTTGTAATTACTCGGGTTACTAAATAGAAACAAAGTCTATGTTTTTGTAAATATATGGTACAATATCTTCTATAAATTGTTTAAATATATGAATAGCTTATTCTCTATATGCTTATGTTTTGTTGATTATTATTATATTTGGTGATATACATGTTGGTCTATAGATACATTTACACCTATATCTACAAGATACAAGATACATTGGAATTCCACAAAAATCTATTATGTAACTAGAGCACACCTATTTTTTTCCAGGTAATTGTGCTTTGCTAATGTTCAGAAATAGAACTGATGCTAAAATAAAAAAATAAATAAATAGTACAAGTCTTTGGTAAAAGTATTATGATTATTATAGGACATATCCTTAGAAATAAAAATGCTAGACCCAAACTTATACTAATATTTTACTTCCCTAGATATTGTCTACATTTCTCCTTGGTGGTTTTTTAATTTTTTTCCAACTTAAGAATAATTTCCACTTAATACTTTTTAAGGTTTCCCGTAGTTCTTCATACAATATTCAATTTTATTGAACTATTAATTTCAGTTAGTGATATGAGTTAGTTCTGCGCACATTTCCTAAAATTATTATAAAATTGACTCTATTTCCAAACATTTGCTTCTTTTCCTGTTTCTTTCTGTACAATTGCCTCACATGTCTTTGTCAATTTTTATCTTGGAATATTTACATATTTTATGTATAAGCATGTATATTTTAGATTCTAATATATGTTAATGTGTTCTATTACAAATACTTTGCTGTGGCATGTATTTTCAATTTGTATTTTGTTGTTTTGTGAAACAGAATATTTTAATTTTTCATAGTTAAGTCATTCTCTTACTTTGATGTTTTTATCTCTTTTTTTTTCTTCTTCTAGTTCCTCTTTTCCTAGTCATTGCCTTGTTATGGTTAGCTATAAGGTGGGTTTTGGGGGTTTTAGCTCACAATTCAGAAAGCAGAAGTGAAGTTATAGGCATTGTGCTGTGAATGTTAGTGCAGCAGAAAAACACTAGCTCACCGTGTTGTTCATTCATGACCTATCAGTCAAATCTATTTCCTCTTCCTGGGCCAAGAGAATGTGTAGAACCAACTAAAATGCAACCAGCTTCTCTTGCTCATTAGCCATTTTGTCAAGGACAAGGATAGTAGGAAATGGAGTACCACTGCTTATCTTACACTTCCTACTTCACTTATACCATTTCATTCTTAATGTAAGTGCACAGACACATATGGTATTTACAGCAATCATAATACAGGGCCTTGATGCAATAAAGAGGCACAGTGAGACAGTGTGGTGGAGCACACCTATAATCATAGCACTTGGGAGGCTGAGACTGGTCAATGGCCATAAATGCGAGGCCAACCTGGGCTAAACAGTGAGTTCAAGATCAGACTGAACTATATAGTCAGATCCTGCCAAAAGAAAGAGAGAGAGAGAGAGAGAGAGAGAGAGAGCACACTAGAGAGGTAGTCAATATGAGTTACCAGTGTAGCAGGGAACATTGTTTTATAGTAAATATTTTTAATAATTAGGAGTTGATTTCAAAATATTGATAAAATATATACTAATATGTATAAATATATGCATAAACCAGTATCAAATGCATTATCACTAATAAGTATTATGAACCATATATAATATTATGTGCTACATTTTTATGACTGTCAGCAAAGAGGTTTGTTTATAGTGACATTATCCTAAGCAAGTGAGCAATGATTTGTACTATGACAATATCATGACTAGGACAGAGCCAGGCTTTAGGGATTTTCTAGTTCCATTGTGATCTTATGGTATTATCAATATACAGGCAGTACATCCTTGACCAAGATGCCATTTTGTGATGTGTGACATTAATTTGTGATCAGGGTCATATATATATATTTTTTTCATTTATATATGTATTTATGATATTATGTATATAATCTTGTACAGCTCAGATTATGTAGCTATTTTTCTGCTTACATCCAAATAATAAATTTATTCCTGTAAGTAAAATATGTATCATTTTTATTTTAAATAACCTACTTTTATATTTTGATTTATCTTATGTAGAAATATAATTGACTTTAATATTTTAAGGTTATACCTCACAATTTAATAAGTCTCATTCTTGTTTTTTAGGTTTTCTTGACCTTACTAGTAAAAAATAATATGATATACAAGTATTTATATATCTTTGTGATATCTTTGTGATGAACGTACATTTTTGTCTTATTCTTCTCTCATGGCTCATGTTGTTATTTCAGTATAGGTTGATTCTGTTATAGTAGGCATCTCTGGCTTATTTGCAATCTTAGAGGACATGTCTTCACTGTAGAGTTCACTCATTTTAAGGACATTTTTTTCCATTACTACTTGGATTTTTGAAGTAACCAGTGAGTTTAGACTTTAATCACCTTTCAGCGTTATTAAATGCCAAAAGAAAGAATAGAAAGCTTGGAAAAAGGCAGTGTGCAAGGACAAAATGTCCATGCTGATGGTGAACAAAGCAGTGTCCTACAGGGGAGATTTCCAGTGATTAGAAAGGACACATATTTCTCATTCTCTACATTAGGTCTTGTTATATTTCATTTATCACATCTTTTCATTTTAAATTCTAGATGCCATGTTGATTTTTTTCTCCTGAACTAATTTCAAACTTTAATTAATCTAACTATTTCATTCATTAATTATTTTCACTTCTAGGAAAGCAGCATGTTCTTTCTCAGACTTCCTAATCATTTTGACTTTAATCATTGGTGGATAATAGCAACTCATATTTATTTAACTACATGTTTTAACTGCATTTATATGAATGCTCTAATGCAGGAAACACCTGGAGTCTGATTTTGGCCCCTAGTCTTTTTTTTTTTTAATTTAAATTGAGTTTATTGGTGCATTCTAGGTATACAGTACAGTTACATATATTACTGGGATCTTGTACCTTTACATGACAGGTCTTAGTTCTCATTCTTCCCCTTGTCCCCATCCTCCCTTCACCACCCCATTTCCTCCCCACCTACAAACACTTTAATTCCATTTTTACATTTTCTCACATTTTTCCCCTTCCCTTATTCCCCTTCCCCTACCCTTCTCCTTAGTCTTCTTCTGATGGAATTCTGAGAGTCTTCAATCAGGACACTATTCATCTGCAGAGTTCACCTTTGTTCTTTCTAGAAAGCAGAAGGTGTAGTAATCTATATTTAAAAAGTATTTAAATGACAGGTATTTATGAATATACAAGTAATATTTTAGTGATAAATACTAGGTCCACATGTTTCTGATTGATTCAATCAATCCTTGGAACCTTCAGATCTGGAAATTTAGTTGGTTATCTCTCCTTCATTCTGAGGGAATAATTAAATTTAATTTAAAATGTGCATTAGATAATCAAACAAAATTTCCTAAAGCCGTTCAAGGTCGTAAAATAGGGTGACTGATTGGAAAGAATCCTAATTTAGATATTATACTAAGCTACTTGCAATATATAATCATCCTTCATTTGAAGACCACATAGGTTTTTCATTATCATCAGTTGACTTTGTCTTTTGGGCTGCAAATTGATAAAGAATTTAAGGAGGTCAAAACTGACAACTATTTGGACACCTTAACACTGCAATGATAAAAGTAACATATAATCATAAAAGGTTTTACTCTATAGCTACAAATGGGAAAACTAAGTGTGTTCTTTTTCTAAATATAATATGTATGTTTTTAAAAATTATTGAAAAAATGAATCCTTTCTCAAGAGGTAGCATCAGCTGTAAACCAAGGATCAACTGTAAATCAGCTATCTCCAGTTCATTCATAGGGAACCATCTTTTGATTCCCATTTCAGCCAATTAATCAAATAATCTATCAACACCTATTTAATTACAAAGCTGTGATGTTCTATCCAGAATCTCTATGAGCCTATATCAAAGATTTGGCCAGATCCTGGTTTATGTTTCTTCCACCATTGTTCCACCCTTAAAATCCATTTCCATATCTGTTCCCTTAACATCTACTTATAAAACTTAGAAAATGCAAGTTTACTAGGACTGTAACATACCTCCTCATGGGTCATTCAGTGTACTTCACTTTGAGGTGTCTTGTGATATTCAAACCTGACTGTAGGTCTACAATGGTCTGTGTAGGTTCTGAGGAAGGTCAGCAATTTCTTGCTTCATAATTGTATCAGGAAAGGTCAGTACACTTTCCATAAGCAAGGCACGATCAGTTTCTTCAGGCAGAAGTTGAGAGGCCAACTAATAGGGGTTGGCAATAAGGATGTCTCTGCCACTGAGGGTGGAGAATTCTCTACCTCTGTAAAATAATTGGATCAGAATTTAGGATTCCAATGTCCCCTGCCTTTTCCCAAACATCTCCATCTCAATTTGTGAGATCCCATTATTTTCTTATCTGTGCTTTCAGAATAAGTGCAGATATCATTTAAATTTGAGCATCAAACCTGTGTTGTGATTTAATTAATCATTATGAAGGAATTGTGTTTGGTTCTCAGTAAATTTAACACTATGACTAAAGGACAGAAGATTCTCCTTCAAGTCACACTCAGAAGACTTTAGATTGTTTATGTGAACTCATGATTTTCTGTAAAAATTCATCTAGAAATGCTGAGAGCAACCACCCAGCATCATTAAATTTCTTACTCTTCCAAAAAATATTTAAAAATATTGCACATAGAGTCATTAAATTCTTTGCATCTCAAAAGTTACAAATTAAGGTAATCAAATGGATCTATGTTGCCTATTTACATCATCAGAAGAGGACACACCAACTTTAGGTCTAATCAAATCAGAAAGCAAACTCTGCTGAACAGTCAAGCAATTAGAAAAAAGTATGCTTAAAATTCTAGTTCTCTAGAAGCAATGCTGGTACCAAAATCTATTTTTTTAGCATTCTCTAGAGTATCAATATCAATAGAAAATATAGGTATAACAATGAAAGGGGATTTATTAGGTAAGCTCACAGGACCAGAGGTGGAAGGATCCACAACAGCCATCTGCATGCTGTAAAGCCAGAGCATCCAGTAGCTGCTCAGTGCAAGACAGAAGCCACAGAACAAGAGGAATTGAAAGGGCAGCACCAGTCCAATGTTAAAGTCCTGGAAGCTCGCTGTAGAGTCAATGCTGTGAGTCCGCATTAGAAAGCTGAAGAAACAGAAGACAAGATAAATGTTCAAAGGCAAAAGAAGATCTTTAGAAACAGGCAGATTTCTTTCCTTTTTGTTTTGTTGTTGTTGTTGCTATTGTTTTCTTTCCATTAGCCCATCCAGGCTACAATCCTACAATCCTACAATCCTACCACACACATCAGGGTCCCCCTAGTTTACTCTTCCACAGGTCAGTCCTCCACACACACCCATAAGTGAGCTTTGTAATCTGCTAGGCATTTCTTTTTCCACTCAGTTTGATGTATCATGATTAATTCTCACAGCTTATAAGGCAAAATTTTGAATTAATTTCAATAATTGCTAACTTTCAGATTTGAATAAGAAGGAATTTTTAAACAAATATAGGTGAATTATTGGTATTCAAACCAAATTCTCAACTTCTTAATTTCAAAACAATACATTTGAAACTATTTTATTTTATACAGACACATGAGCAATAAAGAAAACAAAAACTGAGAGCAATGAGAAAATCATATTTATGCTAATTTGGTACTGTTAGTTCAATTCTATAATTGCCATAACACAAGCACCAAATGTTTTATGATCAGTTGCTAGGCTAAATATTATACCTTATAAAGAATGTTTCAGGAAAAAGTTATTTTGTATGCATAAATCCAAGCTCATATTTACAAATGAGAGTCTTTCCTGGGGATATGGGTGATGTTGTGCTGCTTTTTGCTACTGTCCCTGCAGTAATTCACACTCTTCTGCTTCTACAGTACAGCTGTGAAGTCAGTAGGGAGTCATTCAATTATTTCTGATTTTTACACATCTGTCAGTTAAATCCAAGCATCAAATGCAGAACTGTACACATGGGGACCTTATAGGGATTTGTGTCTCTCCCTGGAGGGTGTTGAGTCTATTTACCATTAAAAGATCCATAAATGAGTATTTCCATCTGTAAGAGATGTATATTCATTTTCCACTATTGCTGATGTTCTAACAGCGCTGACACTTTTGGAAACAAAAGGAGGTCCAATAATCATGAATAAACTGAAAATGATGCTGCATCTTTTTTAGAGAATATGAGATTTCTGACCACATTGTAGCATCATAATGAATACCACTCTTTAAAAAATTTTAAAACGACAGAGGATGTAAAATTTGATGAAATTCTTCAAATCTATATTAGTTTCAGTAGGCAGCTTTATTTATTTCAATTATTCATTTATTATTATTATTATTATTATTATTAGTAGTAGTAGTAGTAGTAGTAGTAGTAGTAGTACCAGGGATTATTATTATTAGTAGTAGTAGTAGTAGTAGTAGTAGTAGTAGTACCAGGGATTGAACTCAGGTCCTTGTGCTTGTGAGACAGGCGCTGGAACTACTGAGCTAAATCCTCCGCCCCTGAGTAATTTTAAAATAAACAGAGCGTTTTAGAAATTTGTGGGCATGTAAAACACAACAAACATGCCCTACAGACTGTACAAAATTGCTTGCACTGTGACTCTTGTAGAATACTTCATTTTCAGAATCATTTTATTAATTGCCGTGCATCTAATTTAAAACTTTTTCATGTATTCTGTAAAATTTTTCTTTCTTTGTAGCTGTGAAACATTACAAATTATTTGTTCTACCTGATTCACCTTGGAATTTAAAGACAATTTGGCTTCCACTGAAATTTAAGTTTTTAAATAGTACTGAGATATGAATTCTTCCTACATACCTGTTTCATTTCTTATCTTTAATTTTCTAACACTGTATGGTAAAAATGTCATGGCCGATAAAATTGGTATTAACATATTAAACTTCTGCTCAACAAATTTTTATCTAGATTAGTGGCTCATCGTAAGAATCAATAGTTTATTTGAATTTCAGTAAAATGCAAAGAGCTCTTGGGGATTCTTATAAATGGTAAAAGAGAAAATATATGTGTATGTGTTTAAAGTAATAAAAATTAAAAGTGCTTATGTTGTTACTATGGACCAGGAGCCAGGGTGCTGGTGAGTCCTAAGGGTCCCTGTTCTTATGAGTTATGAAAAAAAGAAGCAGAGGAGTCACACAGATCCAAATGAGCAAGCAGACAAAATTTATTGAGCTAGTCATGGTGGCAAAGAGGGACAAGCTTGCACAGAAAGGGAATTGGCATGAACCTGGAGGGTACAGATGGAGCTGTCTGTTATTTCTGGTCAAGCATTCGGTCCCAGAGGGCTGTGCTGGGTGTACGTGAGACATTTCAAACTGAGTCACGCTTTGTGCTAACTGCGCATGTCCTTTCGCATAGTTCTCTCTGTTTTAATTGCATCCTTGAGGTGCAACCCATATGGTTGAGTAGATAATGAGTTTCTCTGTTTCCAAAGGTTATTTGCAGACATTTTGAGGTGTTTCTTAGTCTGTACCTGATTTGGGAATTTCCCCAAGAATCGATTTATGAGCTAATTCTTTGACTGTTGGCGATAGTTTGGGAGTTAGAGAGTCCTGGGCAGAACCAGGACTCTTAATTATTGATGGGGAAGTGTTCCTTTGCCCATGATTAAAATGAAAGTTTATCCTGGCCCTTTGCTAACTACTGTTCTAGTACTGAGACTCCTACCAATCCCTATTTAATATTCTCCAATTAGTGTTATGTATTTGAGATCATTTCTATAATCAGGCCATATCTTATACCTAAATGCAACATTAATCATCCTTACATCCAAGATAAAATGACCTGCTTGCTTGAGACTGAATGTCTTTTCCTCTCAAAATTCGTACACTGAAATTTAATCCAGAATGTGATACTATTTAAAGGCGAGTACTTCAGGGGTGTCAATTAGGATAGGTGAGGTAGAGACCTCACAAATGAGATTACTGACCCTAAAAATGAGACCTCAGCAAGCTCCCTGCTCCTTCTAATATATGAGAACACTTCCAGAGCAGATTCATCTTTCAAACAGGAAGCACAGTTATGCAGATATTTCTGCAAGAATGGAAGAATCCTGTATTAATTATTTACAGGAACAGCATATATTTTTATGCTGGGATTATATCTGTCTACAGAAACCAGTATTAACTTCCATCCTCCCCTAAAATATGAGGATTTACACCTAAAAGATGATCATGAGAAAAATTTAGTTGTTTCAAGAAACACCATTTATAAATGAATGCAAAGATCTCTCTAAAGAATAGCCTTGGCTAAATGACAAAGTTTCTGTAGGAATTACTGATTTAATATTGTATATTCTACTGACAGTAATTCACAAAATAATACAATTTGCCATGAACTGCTCCAAATAAATGGCTCTTGTCCCATCTCTGTCCACAAATTTAGAGTGTCCCAGTAGTGTGACCCAGTGTTGGAAAATTCTCTAGAAGTCAGAGCAGTGTAGAAAAAAAAAAAAAAAAAGTGGGCATTTTGCAGAGGAAATCTCCATAAGCCTCTCACAAGTCTGTTTTGCATATAGGCATTTATTACTTTTTATTCTGGGAAATCTTTTCAAGAATGACTATGGCGAGAGCTGCCTTGCATGATAATATCTCTTTCAGAAGCAAAGGGGACATTTCCTTAAGCTTAAAAAATTGAAAACATGTACTCTTTGGAACAAAGAGCAGAAGAGTTTACATGTATAATAAAATATTCAAATTCCATAAGATCCAAATTTGCCCATTATGAAACAATCTGAACTGCATGGGCAAGTGCTCTTGGGGTCTTACTCCATCAGCCTACTGATTAGGGACCAGAGAACAAATACATGACTCTTGACATTCAGTTTTTGTTCTTGTTGACAACAATAACCTATTCTTTGTTTTTGACCAAAGAAACTAATCTGCTACCAATATGCATGAAATTGTGTGTAGTACATGTGTTTGGTTATATATCATATATATATAATCTCAGAATTTTTGTAGATCTGTACAGCTAAATTTTCTACCTTTATACTTCAAGGAAACAAGTTGCCATCATTTTATCACCACCATGAATTGTCTCAAAAGTCCAGCAGAGTATGGGACTATATCTACCACTAAGTCTCATAGATTTTAGGCTACAAATAAAGGAATTAATTGTAAAATTACTCTAAAAAGATATTATTTTACCAATACTATGTTAAGTATTAACATATAACACATCTAGACAATGCACTCTTTCCTTTCTAATGGCATGGGAACCATAGATGAGAAGAGACCTAACTTATTCCTAAGAGCAACAGGTCAAAATTGGAAAGAGGGAGAAACATGACTGCAATATTTTTATAGAAGTATAATATAAAATTTTATATAGGTCTGTACAAGACACCATCTGAAAAATGGTACAATTCTAGATTTACTGGATAGTACTTTCAAACCAGTACAACCTAGAATTAGTGGTGAATAGCCTCTGGTGTTCAATTTAGTTGCTATGTGATATGTGAAAAAAAGTTGTTCAATTGTAAAGAAATGAAAATATTATATTTTAATTTATATACAGTATGTTAATACCATTTCAGCTCACTGTTATATTAATGTACTATGAGATAAAATTATGATTTTATTGTTAGAATTCAATGAAAATCAGACATGTAGCTAATGATACAGAGGATGAAATAATATTTTTGTAAGCTTATTTGGTGTTCTTAATAAGTGTATTACGTACTGAGAATTATTGACCAAAAAAGCAATGAATTTCTGTGTAAGAATATAGTATATATAGTTTTGAAAATGTTAAAATGACTGTGCATAAAACCAAAATTAATTGCTCTGGAAATGCATTAATAAAAGATATAAGAAGGAATACGGCTGCTATTAACATGTTGTACGGCAATGCTTTTGGATCCTTATTATATATTTCAAATGCAAGCGGTTATGAAGGTGCTAGGAGTTTTATTTTTCCAAAGAAATTTCACAGAAAAATTTTAAGGTGCATTAACTAAATATAAAAAAGATGGGTCTGTAGGAAATATTGTTAGTAGTCGGAGTGTACATTGAGATGACAAGCACTGTCAAATGACTTAACATACATTGTGAGCAAATCTTGAAAATGCACTAATTAAGATGCATAACGAAAGTGCTGAGGTTATT